CTCGCAGCACGTGTCCCCATCTCCGCCCCCGCCCCTGCCCCCATGTCTGTGGCTCAGGGCCATGGAGGGTGGATGCCCCAGGAGGTGTGACCTGAAATTAGCAGCTTCTACCAAAAAGACAGGGGCGGGGGGCGGGGAGGGGGGTCCTAAGCTCCTGACAGGCTCAGGTAGGAGGAACCCCAGGAATCAGTGACTAGAAACTGGACTTAGCTTTTGCGATTAAAAAACATCTTAGCAAGATCCATGCAACATACCTAGGCTTCCACTTACAGGAGGTGCCGGACAGAGAGAGACCCAGGTTGGGGAGGGGGGAGGGGGGCTGAGCATCCTTGCGACCAGATGCAGGAGGGCAGGAGGGCAGGAAGGCAGGAAGGAAGGCAGGTGGGCAGGAGGGCAGGAGGGCAGAGAGGAGGGCAGGTGGGCAGGAGGGGAGGAAGGCAGGAGGGCAGGAAGGAAGGCAGGAGGGCAGGAAGTCAGTATCAGGCCTGCTCCTCGCTCAGGGCCAGGAGGGCAGGAAGGAAGGCAGGAAGGCAGGAAGGCAGGAGGGCAGGAGGGCAAGAGGGCAGGAGGGCAGGAAGGAAGGCAGGAAGGCAGGAGGGCAGGAAGGAAGGCAGGAGGGCAGGAAGTCAGTATCAGGCCTGCTCCTCGCTCAGGGCTGACCACGCCGGCTCCGGTCCGTGCTCTGCTGGTAAATTCTCCCCCTCAGGTTTGCTAGGCCTGCCTGACAGGGGGCTGCTCAGGTGAGAGGACATGGGAGCAGGAGCCCCAGGAGATGAGAAGTGTGGCCTGGAGACCTTGCCACTGTACCATGGAAACCTCCGGCTCTGCTCCTGGGAGAGTTCCCGTGAACTGGTTTGTGGTTACTGTTTCCCAGGGGTAATCACAGTGGGAAACAGGCCTCCAAGATTGCGGGCTCGGTCCAGGCCCCCACAACGAAGTGCCTGCTGCATTAAGGTGAGTCACACGAATGTCTTCCCAGGGCACAGAAGTCAGGTTCCTGCTGTGCTATAGGCATGAAGTGCACAATAGCGTTATGTCTAATAATGTACATGCCTCAATTTAAAAATTCTTTATTGCTGTAAAATGCTGACCATAGCCTCTAGCGAGTC